ATCCAATTGAGCTGCTCCACTGCTCCCCTGATCTCTGTCAGATGCTCATTATTCTGTTATTTCTATTCTTCTGTCTTACTATGCTGATGGGAAACAGGCACTTGGGTTATATATAGCTTCTCCTATTCCCAAATCCCTTGGGATGTAAGTTAAGGACTAGCCTGATAAGGCTGCAAAACTGAAAGCTCTTAAAATCCTCCTGGCAGTAGTCCCAGGTGGTCCCAGGTAGGACTGACACGGCATTGCTGTGGAGAGGCTCTTGCTTGGGAAAAAAAGATCCAGAACTGGCCAATTGGTCAATGTTGGACAGTATGTGGGAAGCAGGGCTCTGCAGCAAGACTCCCCCAGACCCCGGCATCTCCTGGGGTCATTTCTTCTGTTCTCCATGTATGTGCGGATGGGATGACATACTGGAAAGGATGGGATCCAGAGGGAGCTGAACAGGCTGCAGAGGTGGGACCGTGTGAACCTCATGGAGCAAAACAAGGCCGAGTGCAAGGTCCTGCACATGGGTTGGGGCAATTCCAAGCACAAACACAGGCTGGGGGAGACTGGACTGAAGATGACCTTTAAGGTCCCTTCCAACCCAAACCATTCTATGATTCTATGAAGAAGCAGCTCTGCTCATACCTGACTCTTCAGGCGATGTTCGTTATCCTCATGAGGCTCATGAGGACCAAAGCATCGCCCTGTTTCTGAGTGTGTTTGGCTGGAGCCTCCATGCAGAGGCACTGTTCACGTGCCTGACATTAACTGTGGGGGCCTCAATATCTTCTAATTTCAGTGGAAATTGGAGTCAAGTACCACTGGAACAGCAGCTCCGACAGGGAGGAATCGCAGGTGCCCTTGGGGACATTTCACATTCAGATCGTAGAGTGCAGTTTGGTTTGGGGTTTTACAAATGCTCTTGCGCTCGCTTGCTTGCCTCAAGTAATGAAGCAGAGAGATAAAAGACAGGGCCACAGAAGGTTGTTAAAAAATTACTTGCAAATTAATATGAGAACAAGGTGTAAGAGTTAATATCTCATAAAGACCCTTGAAATCGGCGTACATGCGTGCACCCTCTGAGCACTGACATTCGCAGGCACAGCTACACTGGTAAAGCGAGCCCAAGGGGCTTGATTAACAGGAAATTTTCAGAATGCCAATTAGAGCAAAGTTTACTGAACAAATTGTTTGCACTTGTACCCTAGAACCATCATGAATTTTAATTCAGCATGGATTTGTGTGGCTGAAACAATAATTAAAGATACATGAATGCCTTACGTTCTGGAGATGGCCCTGTGGGTACACTGGCATTTTGGGTGAGGAAGGGGGTGATGAGCCTGTTTGGGCAGGGTTTGCTCTCACTAGGAAGGACATGGGGTGCAGAAGGCTTTTCCCCGTGGAGATACAAGCGGTTTCCCGAGTACTGAGCTCGCTGATTTGTGCTGTGTTTAGTCTTGGATTTCCTTTTTCTTGTTTTTTCCCCCCCAATTCATTTATGTAATCTGACACAGAATGATCCATGCGCTGTTTTCTTAGTGAAAGGTGGCTTGTCTTTTCCTGACATCCTCTTCTGGTGGCTGAGATGTTAAATCATGTCCTTGTGTTCCCCAAGGCTGTGCTCTCCCTGCACCCCAGGAGAGGACACATGTGGATCCACTCTCTCCTTATCCCTGCTCCTGCTTGGCCAGTCCCAGGTTTGGAAGTGGGGAAAAGCTTTGCACGCCACAGTCCCACAGGGAGCAGCTTCGCTGGAGGAGAAAGCAGTGCTACCACAGACGTCCCCATCCAGCAGTGCGATGTATATGTATGTTGTCATTTGAATTCTCTCCCCATGCTGGTAAATAAGTTACACATATTTTTAGAAGAAGTTATTTTCTGTGACTGCACTTTTAAATGTCAGGCTCCTGGAGAGGAGTCTTTAAGATAGTTTAAGGTCAGTCAGGCTTCAAGGAAGGAATACGCAGGTGGGGAAGGAAAGTGGCTGTCGGGCTGTGGTCCAGCCTAAACCCAGGCTGTGGTCTAAATGATGGGCAAGTACAAGCATCCCTCGTGGAGGCGACGCCCCAGGGCATTGACCTCCCTGTACCTCAGCAATTGCCCTCAGTTATGGAGTAACTAAAGACTTTGACAAAAAAATCCAGTGGCTGAAAATTATCTGGCCCATTAGTTCAGGAGCACAGATGAATAATGCATACATCCAAAGGTTGGTTTACAAATGATTAATTAACCTTAAGAGAGGTTATCCTCACTGGCAACATCCATCGTCCTAAACAGCTTAATCATATCTGCACAGAACAGTGTATTTTAAACACTATTATTTAAGAAGAGCATTAAGGAATCATGGATCAAGTGCTGGATACTGGCACTGATCACTGCAGAGTCAGGTACACACCATGCACAGGGAGGGCAGCCAGGTCTACAGGTTTCACTGTGCTATGTGTGGTACAAGACAGGCTTGAGCATCACTTAACAGAGCCCAGTGCCTGCTTGTGCTAAGGCATGGCTGGGAGGTGCAGAGATTGCACCTTTGCTGTAATAAACAGTTCAGGCATTTGTTTTCCCTGCTTTGATGTAAGAGTGTGGCTCTGCTGCTAGCGAGAGCTGCTCCCAGTGCCTCCTGCTGCGATGAATGGCCTTTAGTCCCAGGGCTTTTTGCATTTGTTATCAGCCATTTGTTATGTGTGTCTATTAATAAAGTGCTCCTAAAAAGCACTTCCACTGTCTGGAGTCGTTTCTGACGATACCTTTATGCCTCCAGCATGCAGTACCTCTGCTAAAGCTTGCTCATCTTCTGCAGGGACCAGGGGTGCTCACTTCACTCCAGGGAGAGCTTAACCCCTCTGCCCCTTATTCAGGCTTCAAGAGAGCCCCCAACTCCAGGCAGGGTTACTTATAATGATCATGATTCAGTTTTATTTTGGCAGAGGCACATTTGGCTGCAGGCTGGCCTCTGTCAATACCTCTCACAGGACAAATAGCCTATGGGAACCCTGTCTACATCAGAAGATTGCTCTTCCTCCAGCTCCTTCTTCCTCCTACCCATTCTTTCCTCTTCAAAACCAAGCAGGACGAGCTCACCATGTTCTTCTCATACAAAGAACAATTAGCCCCTTTCCCCTGACAAAGCTCCTACACTGGATGCAGCTGAATTGGTTTCTTACCTCTTGTTAATCCATGAAGCAGTAAAAGCAGTGCACATTCACACCTGAGTACCCATGGCTTGAAATGTGTGAAGTTCCTGAAGTGCTTCAGCTGAACTTCAGTGTTTCCAAGGGCAGAAGGGTCACTCACAGTGGAGAAAGAGAGAGTCTGGGGGGAAAAATCCCAAAAATACACATCCTAAGCAGTTGGGTTTGCTTTGTCTGGCAGGTCCAAACTCCAGAGAGGTGTCTGAAGTACCGCTCTGGTGGGGTGTGAAGCCCTAAGCTGAGTTCTGTAACCCATAGAAACATTTACTGGCCTGGATGCTGAAGGTCCCCATGCTCATGATTCAATCCAGAAATGATGGGGAGCCCATGCAAAGCTTGGTGCCAGCACTAAGGTGGTGGACCACTGAGTTTTTCCCACCTGTCTGCTCATCTCCTATGTGTCCTGGCTGCCACATCCACACAAAGTCACTCCCAACCTGCTGGAAACGGGAGCAGTGGAATGGTGGAGACCATGGGAGTGATGCCAGAGGGATAGCACTCGCTGTGTCTGCTCTGGCTGGTGCTCCTGCAGCTCGGGCATCTCCTGGAGCTACAGCTCTAACACTCATATTTATGCTTTTTTACGTGAGGTTCTTTCCATAAGCATGAAAATGGTTTGCAACATTTCAGATTTCATTTTCTTTAATCCTTTAAAATCAAAACAAATCTTTGCCCAATTTTAAGGCGTCCCCTTTGTTCAGCTTTTGCAGAAAAACACGGATGGAAGAAACTCCTGAAATCCCTAACCAGTGGCAACCAAATTGGTATTTTACAAGTTAAGTGCTATAACAGAGGGAACATACATGTTTAATTTGAAAATGTTGATTCAAAATGGATTTTTGTTTTTTTTTTTAAAAAAAAAAACCCACCACAAAAGCCCACCTTCCCCCAAGCAAGTCAATATTTGTAATCAAATGGAAATTTCCTCTGGGAATTATTTATTTTCATGAGGGCTAATTTTTGCAAGGGAAAATTCTACACAGGAAGGTTTTCAGTTGCTTTAAACCAGCTTTAGGAATCTGGGTGATGGGAGGGGGCCAGGAAATCCCACTCATGCTGAAGCTCAGCTGCCTTTGATGAGGGTGAGCTGATGCAAGAGTTTAAACTGATTCTTTCCACTTTGAAGGGGGTAAAGAGTGAGCAGAAAGGAAGGTAAGGGAGAAACAGGAAAGAAGGAGGCATTCAGCACCAATTCCCTGCTTTGTATTTTTTGAGAATGCAGCAGCATGGCATGGGATTCACCTCTGGCAACATCAGACATCAAACTGAGGCATCCCAGCTGGCTGCTTTCAGCTTCCCATACACCAGAGGGAACACAAAGCACTTTGGGGTGCTGCATCATTCACCTGCCTATATATGACATCCACTGCAGGGTGAGATGAGTTGTGCCACTGACTTCATCTGCCTCGAACAGATGAGGAGCTGATGGTGACAGGTTCACGTTACCATAGCCCAGTGAATCCCATTTGAGCTGCCTGACCTGCTGTTGATTTACTGGTGGAGCAGGAGCATCCCTGAGGGTACTGCAGCCCCTCCATGGGTAACACAGTATGGGCCACGAGGAGGAACAGGCACCTTATACTGCTATTAATGCATTAACAAGGATTCAAGCCCCAAGAGAAGACACACATGGCTTCCAGCACCCATAGGGAAGTACTTTAGAGCAAACCATCACGGCTCAACCTTAAGATGATTTTCTTACAGAATTTGTGTCCATTTTACCCCAACAGTTGGGGTTAATGATGTGCATAATTTACATTACTATGCCTTTTATATTTGTATTATGATAAATTGCCTACCTTCGTGTTCCTCTTTATTATGATGCACTGGGAACACAATAGAGCAGTAGGAAAACAACAGTATAACACTGCGCTGTCAGCCTCCAACACAGAGCCAGCACACCCAGGCTGCAGCCATCCCCGGATGCACAGCACCGTGTCAGATGATTAGCTCCAAGGCAACTGCCAACATGCCGCTTTAGTGGAAATGAAAACAAGGTAATTCAAGATTTATTTTCTCTCTAAGAAAGCTCCAGGAGGCAGGAGCCAGCCCCCAGCATCTCCCATAAAATACCCGAACAGGGGAGCTCAGCTTCTGCCCGTGGATCTGTGAGAGACCTCTTCAAAAGGAGGAGAGTTTTCCTTTTCCTTCTTGTCCCCACACTGTATCCTAAGCAGAGTGCTGGAGATGGCTGGACCCTGGTTTCCCAAAGGAGATAAGCACACCTTGTGTGGTTTTAGCTCTAGGCATGCCTCCTGGGTGGCTCCTAATCACCCGTCCTTACAGCTTCAGAAACATATCCCTGTTATTTTCCAAGTGTTCATTTACCTCCAGAACATTGCTGTCTTAGCCCCCTTTCTAATGGATTAGGGTGAACAGATAACCAACCAAAGCTCCTTACTAACAGTGACCTACCATGCCCAAGTACAATCTGTGCCTGGATGCTGATACAGCCATATGCTGTGGCCAGAGAAGGTACCTGCTGAAAACACTTAGGAGCTGGGAGGAAAATGATCAGGATTAGTGGAGTGATTAATTCAGAGTTATTGAAGACCATCCTTTAAAGATGCCCTAAATGTGTTATAAAAAAAAAAAAAAGCCACACTGATTAAAAAGGCAATGATAAAGAAGTGCCTTGGTGAGATGGATGGTGAAAGCAGCAATAAACCCAAATAAAACCATGTATATGATAAATAGGATGAGAGCAAGCCAGCAGCAACAGCCATCGGTCAGAAAGCAGGGATGCAAACAAGGCCTGACAGTAACTTGTGTCATGAAAGGACCCTTTATGGAGATGGAGAGGTGGTTTCCCAGTCCAGGTGTTTGGGTTAGGGGTTCCATTGGCAGTCAGGAAGCACGAGAGGGTGTCAGAGATTTTAGATAGAGTCTTGCTGTCATCTTCTGGATGATCCTGAGCTGGTTATAAAATATTCCTGCCTCCGCTCAGGTACAGGTTCTTTCCAGAAATCAGAAACCCAAACCTTGGAAACCTGACTCTTCAGGTGAAAATGCAGAAAAGCTTCTGTTTGGAGTTTCTGGTCAATATTTTAGCTCTACTATCACTCCTAAGGACACAGAAAGGAGCTCTTGTAGGGTTTTCAAGTCTTCCAGAGGACTGACATCACCTGCAGGACCTAAGACCTGATGTGTTTTGCTTGCTAAGGCTGGATACGGACAGATGGTTTGGAGCAAATCTGGCATTTCCTGGGGCAGGAGAAACAACGTACATGTGCAAGACCATCACAGGTGCTGGGAGGCATCCATGCACCTATGCTGGCAACTCCAAACCCCAGTCCCTCCTCCTGGGAGCTTTGCCCACTGTACATGCACAGAGGAGCCAGGTACCCCAGCAGGCAGCAGTGGGAGAGATTGCTGCTATGAGATCTGAGCACAAAGCGGCTTTAACCACTGCTGGCATTGGCACAGCAAGCGAGAAGACATTTACTTCCAGGAGCAAACACAGGGAACTGCCAATTGGCCAAAACCAAATAAAACATGACCTCTGATGAACTGGAGCCGTAATACTTTCAAACAACCCTGCGCTCAATATCGGCAATGCAATAGTTTACCTTTGAGACACGAGGGCTGAAGGAGGAACGACACCCCAGCTCCCGGAGATGTTTCATTACCATCATTGCTATTACTGATAACAGGACAGCAAACCCCCACGAGGGCCCCGTGCCGGGCTCCAGGAAAGCATTACCTGCACCTCTTCCCCAAGGGAAAGCACAGGAGCTGGGGTTTATGGGAGCACCTGAACCTTTTCAATTACAGGAAATACAGAATGAGGCAGAATAGAGATATTCTTTCCTGGCAGCAAAGTCCTTCCTCTCAGCTTTTGTTCTCAATCCTGCAACCTGCCCGCTACTCCCTGGGTAACCACGCACACACTCAGCCTTGCTGGCTCCTGGAAAAAGCCCCTTTTAAGTGGGACAGGAACAAACCCTGAGCTAGAAATAATGGGAAGCCTTTGGGGAAGAAGTAATAAAACAATCTGAGTTTGATTATTAAGCACAAAGCGCGAGATGGCAGCTGATGTGCAGTACACACCGCCTCCCAATCAAACAAATACCCAGAGCGCAGTCCTGTCCAGAAGCAGTATAGATATCTCAGCAGCTTATTACCTTGTTTCCTGGATCACTGCAAGCTTCTTGGAACCAGTGTGAAGCACAGGCAAATCCATTAAAAAATTGATTTTTGTTATTTCTCTTCAGCTGCCTCTGACTTCAGTCACTTCTCTCTTACACTTTGGCTGCAGTAAATTCACCCTCTGCCTGCCTTTATTCCCAGCAAGGAGTTCCTTGTCCTGCCCTGGAGCCTCCTGGAGTGACCAAGGGCTCCTGGGTACTGGTCTATAAACCTCTTTCTGCCTCTACCCCAGGACAAACAGGCTGCTGCCGGCAACCACAGGCAGGCAGCTTCTCCCTGGCTATGCCTACACCCCAAACCCATGGTGTGGGAGATGCTCCAGGTTACACTGGACTAAAGCTCCTTCTGCCAAAGTCTGAGCCTCTGGGGTCAGCTCATCTTGCCATGAGGTTTAGCCAGAGCCCCTTCAGTTCCCCATCCCACATCTACAAGCTCAGATCTCCATCATTCAACCCCCAGCACAGCCACCCAAATGGGGAGCACAGTTGGAGACGGGTTGGGTTGGATTGTGCACTTTTGGTTTCCCTAAAAGCTGCAGGCAGGGGAAGCAACAAGTCTATGACAACCTCTGCTGCCATACCCCTGACAAACCTTTCAGCAAGCCCCTTTGCAAGGCATGGAGACATTTATAACCTGCTGCTTCAGGAGGAACGGGGACACTACATGGATTGGACATGGCAGTAGCATACGGGGAGCCATATGCTCTGCCAGGAGAGAAGCATATGGAGACAGCAGAGAGGCTGACCCCAGGCAGGCACGTCTGGGGTTATGGGCAAGGCTGCCACAGACACAGGTCCTGCTCCCTGAGCAACCCATGGCCCAGCACAGCTCTTCTCTTCTCCATGGGCCAGAAATGCCCTTATTACCTTTGGTGGTATTTGGTGATTATTACATTAATCCACAGCCCCCCTTTGTGCATAAAGCACCCGAGATTTTAGAGTCATAGAATCATAGAATAGTTAGGGTTGGAAAGGACCTTAAGATCATCCAGTTCCAACCCCCCTGCCATGGGCAGGGCACCTCACACTAAACCATCTCACCCAAGGCTCTGTCCAACCTGGCCTTGAACACTGCCAGGGATGGAGCATTCACAACCTCCCTGGGCAACCCATTCCAGTGCCTCACCACCCTAACAGGAAAGAATTTCCTCCTTATATCCAATCTAAACTTCCCCTGTTTAAGTTTTAACCCATTACCCCTTGTCCTGTCACTACAGTCCCTAATGAAGAGTCCCTCCCCAGCATCCCTATATGCCCCTTCAGATACTGGAAGACTGCTATGAGGTCATACATTTTACCACAGCTGTAAGGGAGGATATTGCCCCATGATAATAATAACTACTTTGCACAGGGTACCTGCCCCCTGGCATCCTCAAAACATACAGCCAGGGGAAAATGCACTTCCCTGTTGTGATTTGATGCCCCAACTGCAATAAAATCATTTGATGACCAAGGATTCTTTCTTGCAAGGTACATCAGTCAATGAAGCTGTCAAATAGGCAGCGCCAGGAACTGGTTTAGGACGTAGCAGCACAGAACATTTTCTTCCCCAGCCACCACAGCGCTCATCCCTCCACTGCTTCTCTGGCAGCACAGTCTGTCTGCAGCTCTGTGCAGTGAGCTGCATCACTGGCACAGCTGGAGTTGTTGGGAAGCAGGAAGAGGGATTGTGTCCATACACATGCACATACAAAACCGTGTACTTTTAAACCCAGGAAGTTCTCGTCACCTCCCTGGGGTTCAGCTCCCTGCTGCTGCATGGCCGGGTCGGTGGTTGCAGGATGCAAAGGCAGGGCTGGGAAAGCAGCAGCACTGGGGCTCACAGCCAAGGGAAATGATCCCCACAGCAGCACCGTGTGCACGGGGAGAGTCACAGGGATGGGGGTTTGCAACCCTGGGGCTCCTTGTGTCCATGTCCAGCCCAAGAGTCACCGCTGCAGCACAGCCTGGGTAAAACCCTGGGCATGGCTGTAACCTGCTCTGCTGCAGACAACAGCCACAGTGATGCTGAGCCTGGGGGGGTCACCCGAACACATCCTGCCCTGTGTGCGATGTAGCAGTAGGTGTGCTGAGGGCTGCAGTCACAAAGGGAGCCTGTAACCCACTCTGACCAGAGCTGCCCTTTCTTCTGGGCATGGGGCACTGCACAGGTCATTGGTTGCTTTTCAGCTGAGGAGCTGAAAGGAGCTGGCCAGGAGCCACCCAACAGCACTGCAGAAGACACACAGGAGGACTTGAAACACCCCCGAGCTGTAGGGTTGCATGTGCTGCAGCCCCCTCCTCATGCTTACCTTAACAGCTCAGTGTGCTGAGCACCCCTCCTGTGCCCAGAGAAGGGATACAACTGACAGCATCCCACCCAAGCCTGGCATCACCTCTCCCTGTGCCCAGCAGGAGGGCAGCCACACCACCGGCTCCTCCACTGCCCCTTGCCAACAAGTCCCGGCTCCTGCAGCCCTCTCGAATCCAGATGCAGGGAAGAACCTGGAAGATGACAGAAAGCTCTCTCATTCCCGCTGTAATTAGTCCCTTTGGAATTCAATTAACAGGCTCCCCGCTGCAGCTATCAAGCTATCATCAGTTGGGCAAACAGCCGTACAAGCCAAGCCAGGTCCTTGTGAGTACAGCAGAAACATTTTGGCATGTCCAAGGGGAGCCTGTCCTTCCACACCCTCTGCAGCTTCCTTTAAAGTAGTGCCCTGCTGGTGGGAATCTAATGGCTCTGTTGATGATCAGCAGCACCTGTGCCCCCCCTGCTCACCAGTCCCAGCTGGAGAGCATCCACCATTCCCAAGCAGTGCCAGGGAAAAGCATCATCCTGGTGCGGCCGCAGCATCTCAGAGCTGACCCTGGTCTGGCAGTGCTGGTGCTGTGCATGGTGTGAATACACTTCCACTCTGCTCGCCTTATGTGCTAGCATGGTGCTGAGCACGTCAGCAGGCACTGAGTGTGATCCCTTGCTTGTCTCTGGGGTGTGTGATTGGGCTAAGATACACACCCGTGATGGTGAATAGCAACCATGACAGCAGGGGCTAGATAACTTTTAATTTTTATGTTTTTCTGGCTTTTTTCTGCATTTCCATTTGGCTGGAAATGGGGAAGCTGACGTTTCCTGAGCTGTTCTCCTGGGCTTCTGGAAGTGGGGCTATGAGAGCTCAATTCAGCCCACTTCTTTTCAAATACAAGGCGAGCAGAGTTTGAAATAGGGCTTTAGCCTGGGTGGGGACTCAATGCCCATCTCCCTCCAGGTGCAAGTTTGGAGCCAGGGAATTGCGATGCTCTGTACCTGGAGGGACACTGGATAAAGCCTTGATTGTGTCTGCTGTAAAAGCACTGGGATGTGACACCCTGTGCTGAGGAACAGGGTCTTGCACAAAGGTCTGCAAACCTCCTCTGCCTTCAGTGCAGGAAAACTCCTTCGCCTGCTGTGAATGATATTTCAACTTGGCAAATTCTGTTCAAAATGAAACCCACTATGGCAAAGGAAGAAAAAACTCCCTAATGTTTGTACTGCATCAAACTGAGCGATGTCACGTGTCTGGGCTGCCTTGGAAAGCACAGAGTTGCCAAAAGATGGTGAATGTCTTCAATATGAAGAGAGAGGGACCAGAAGGAAGCTGCTAAAGCCTAGAGAAAATTTCCAGTTACTGCTTCTGTTGATGCATTTCTCTTCAAGGAGTATCCTCTGCTTTGATTTAAGGGTGCCCTTACAGCACTGGAGACCTGATAATGGTGGTGGTGGCCACCTGAGATTGATGCATGGACGTTAACTCCAGCGCCTCAGGCAGTGTGTGTTAAAGCATTGACTTCAGCACATACATCCCTGCTCTGATCTCTCCATCACACACCTAGGATGAGCTTGCAGCTCAGGCTCACCTGCAGCCTCAGGGTAGATGTAGCCAGGAGCCTGCTGGCTCCCCATAACCTGATTTACTGAATTTCATGCCGTGCCTGTGCTAGTGGGAGAGGAGCACATGGTGTTCCAGCCCAGAGCTCCCCATTGCGCCCTTGCGCAGTGGTGGCATTGTCCTAGGGGGATGTTTGATGTCCCTCCAGCTATTCCCACCCTCATATGGTGTTACAAGCCAGGACACTGCTGTGCAAAGCCCTGCTGAGGTACAGGACAGCTGGCAATGCCAAAAGCCACCGGTTCCAGGGTATGGATGCCAGTATACCCCAGCGGGTGTTAATGCCTTCTGTAGCAGCACAGAGCCCCTTCCAGCCCAGTGCACTGCCCAATTAAGCTGAGATTAGGCAAAACTTAAATAACATGTGCTACCTGTGGTACTTTGGCTCCAAGGAGTCACATTGGAAGTCATCACGGGAAGGTCTGGGCTCGCTCAGGCAGAAACAAAGCAGCAACAAAATGCTCCTTCCCACCCAAAGAACTGCTCTAACAAAGCCAAGCCCTGCCAGCAGTTTATCATCCCTTGCCCATAGCAAAGCCTTCCCTGCCTACCCAAACAATAGAAGTGGTGTGCTAAAGAGAAGGACAAGGCTTGAGGGAGATAGTTCTTAAAGCTGCGCTTTTGGAGCACATATCACCTGGTTTTCACTTTCATTTGCTCATTGTAGAATCACAGATGGTTTGGGTTAGAAGGACCTTAAAGATCAACTTGTTCCAAACCCCTGCCATGGGCAGGGACACCTTCTACAAGATCAGGTAACGCAGTAGAGGTGGAATGCACCATTTCCCTGGATAAACATCAATTCCCTTGTATTGCTTCATGATCTATAACAAAATAAGGGCCACTTTGCAACTATTTTGCTGATATTCTGCTTGAGTGGTGGTGATTTAACTGAGAGCAAATCTCCAAATGTCCATAATAAGCCCTTACTCTCACAAATCACAACTCGAACCTTCCACGTCACCTTCTACCTGCTGTGAGCCAACAAACTACAAGGGCTCAGAACTTTTCTTCCAGAATAATAAGGACAATAAACTTCTGCTTCAAAGACAAGATCCAGGATCACAAGATGCTTCTGGAAACACATTGCTTTCCCAGCTTGTGAAAAAATACTGGATCTTTGATGCTGAAGAGAAAACAAAGGGGGGTTTTATAGT